ACAAAAGTGATTAAAATACGATGCGTTCAACCGAAAATTGCTCGAAGCGCTTTTAGTAATTTCAAAATGCTTAGGTTAGCTGAACGCGCGAAATTTAAAAGATAAATGTTGTTTTTGATTTTTTAGACTGACATAAAAAACGCGGCTTGAGTTTCCAGCTGATTTTACGTCAAATACTCAAGCCGTGATATAGACAAGGTATAGAAATAAAGCAATTTATAAAGAAAAAATTGCGTATAACCGTTAAGTGTGTATGTACATACACGGTGATTCACCAACAAGTTTGGAGCCATATACTATCGGACAGAAGGTCGAAAATGAGTAAAATATATGTTCGGAGCAGACTGTTGAATCGGAGCCGCTCCCGAGCTACGGAAATTTTAAGAAAATTTGACAAAATCCTACATAACTAAGTTTTTTTGTTTATACTCGTAATTTCCAAAAAGCATAGAAGTTTCAAACAAATAGTTCTTGAAAGAGCTAAAGAATTTCACATATAATTTCAGCTTTCACAAGAATTTCACATATAATTTCAGCTTTCTATCTTCAAGAGTGTAGAAGTTTTGTAAACATGTCCACGGAAGGACGGACATACGGGCGGAAACTAATAAGCACTTTTTTTCAAAAAATTTTTGGAAAAGTGCTAAAAATGCAGACAAGTAGGTAGAATAAGCCTTCATTGTTTTTTCTAAATGCTCTTTCCTTTTGTATTTCTTATTCGTTGGGGTTATGAGCATTGTTTATAAGTGATTATATGTAAGTGAAACTTTACAATAACGTTTGTAAATGTAAATTATTGAAACTATCTGTAAAAGAAATTAAAAGCAAAAGCATTGGTTTTTTTTAAACTAATGCCAGTGAAAAACATTCATATGTACTTGTATGTGTAAATACTTTTTACAAAATTTGTGCGGGATTCAAATTTGTTCAAACAAATGGAATACAAATGGAATACAAAAGAAACTTATAAGACATATAAAATAGTTTTGAATGGTTTTATTGTTAGAAAAACAAGTTTCTTAGATAAATTAAATTGCATCGCATTTTCAATTTTGAATATAGTTTAATTTTTGAATTATGAAAATGAATTTTTCTGACATGTTTCAACATCGGTGGGTTTGACGACAGACAATTTTATTTGTTTCGGTTTGTTGACATTTCTCGAACTCTAAGTTGTAAAGCGGTTAAGCTACGTAGCGATGCCGATTCATTATGAAATATCTGTAAGTAGGTTAGACGCTAACGTATGTGTTACTAATTTTTACAAGAAATGGTGCTAATTTTAAAGTGTCAAATTCGATTCCTTATAATAGCGATATTTTTAAAGCGAAGATTGCTAGTTCTTTATTAAATTAAGATTACCAGCTGCATTAACTAAGATTTTAAACAGTACTGGGCAACTTAGCACTATTATTGGTAAGAATACTAACGTTCACATTTTTTTTAATACGGATGTTAAAAATTATCGAAAGACAAAGATAGGTGGACCCAAACTGTCAGTAGGTCAATCAATAATGAGGAACTTTAACCCAACCTAAAAGACACCTGGATGGTCATAAACTTTGAAAACTAGTCAAATTGACTAATAGCTGCATGGCACACGTCCATATAGGCTTTATCATTTGGTTATATACCAACACCTTATTTATATGTTATACATTTATTCCTTATTGTTGCCAATCTAGGCTTACAATCTAGAAGCAAAAAGTTTTCTCTATACAGGTATCCATTGTTTAACAACGTTTTCGGGACTGAAAACTTACGATGTAAATCGAAATGACGTTATTCGAGGTACATATAAAAAAATTTTTATATTAACCACCTACATACACATTAATTTTTATCTATAAAATAATAAAGAACAATTATGTATGACCTATAAACTTAAAAATTTATTTAAATTTTTTGTCGCATATTAGAATTTTGATTTTTAAAAACAGCTGTCACTTGTAAAAAAATGTCATAAAAACAATGACAATTACCTAGGTACATAAAATAATGAATTGGATTGAAAAAATCGATTTTCAGGGTCAGATTTAATTGTCAAAATGAAAAAAAAAATTTTTGGCAGAAATTTACTTCGGAAAAAAACAGTTTAAAACGAGGGAAACGACGTTATGTAAATTAGTGGTATTAAAAATTAAAATAGCGTAAATCGAAATAGGGGGCGTAAATCAACGGATACCTGTATTTGTTTTCTATTTCTATTACTTCCTTCTTTACGTGTTCTTTCTATCTGAGCTTGAAATCCTTCTTAATACGTGTTCTTTCTATCTGAGGTTTATTTAAATTTGAGCTTGACATCCACACGTATTTCGCTATGTTTTAGGTTGATACTATGACAGCATTCAAATTCAATTGTGCCAAGTTTACTAAATTTTTGTTTGTGAAATTTACATGTACGGATTTACTTTCACTGAGCTTTATTTTCCATTTATTTGTCCATTCACTTATATTGTTACTTGCTTCGTTTTTTTTTGTTGATTCTTCAACATTAGATCCTACTGCCAATATTACTACATCGCCGGCAAATGCAGCCACAGTAATATTTCAAAAAGTTTTGATATTATGGATAGCAGTAAAATCCGCCTATATGACATTGACTCAATTTTCCATCATGATAACTTTTGCTGTTTTCCAAGCATTAGTAACATCCCTGGTTCACTGCTGCATTCATAATTTTTTTTTTTCAAAGATGTCGATTAATTTCTCGGAAATTCACTTAATATCGCAGCAGAAATGATATCAAAACCGAGGACTATATTCGATTTAAGAGACTTTATTGCTTTTCAAATTTCCTTCTTTGTTAATAGAATCATGGTGATTTTATCCGTAGCAAAATCGTCTACCAAACAAACACTAGAATTTTTTTTCTAGATGAATCAGTTCATCTGATTGAAACGTTCCTTCCAAGTGATCAGCAAATAGGTCGACTTTATCATTTTTCCAATGATTCATTTGTTATTTTCGATAGGCAGATTCGCTTTATCGGTTTTTTTGCACTCTTTGTTGCTTTCCACAACTAATAATTCTTTTTTAATTGCTGATAAGCCCTTTATATAATTCTTGTATGATACTGATTTAAGATTTTTTATTTTTCCTTTGTGTATTTGAGAGTATATTCATAATCGATTTATAGTCTGGGTTACGCGATATTTGCCATTAATGTCTGGCCCTTCTTTTCTGTACTATTGAATCGGTTATAGCCTTACGTTAATTACTTTATTGAGGTTTGAATTTAGAGAATCTTGTATTTTTTAAAGCGTCTTTTTGTAGCAATTTAATAAAACCCTCCATTACAGAATTTAATTCTTTTCTAGTCTGTAGCTCAGCATTAAAATTTAAATTTCTTATTACATCATGGTTGAATAACCCAATTTCTTGTTGTTTAGACTAAAGTAGAGCCGTTCCGTTTTTTAAATTCGTCCTCCAAATTCAAAAATTTGCTAAAATCCTTTAAGATATAAAAAGTTCAATAAGATTCGGGACTTTGTTGACATCAGTACACCAATAAGTCGGTGATGTATTGAGTAGGATGATGGAAACATCATATCTCCCGCACAGTTTTTTTTAATTCTGTACATGTTCTTGGGGTTAATATGGAGCCCCAATCTATACTTTAGGCGTTATAGTCACCCCCAAGAAAGAATCTTTTTCCAGAGTTAGTTTCCCTCAAGCATCTATAACCCAGCTCATCCAAATCATTCCCCAAGTGTGTTTTTGATAGCAGATATACATAGATATATTTAGCTATAAGAAAAAACCCCAATTCGTTCGCAATTAGCGTTTTATGTACCAATTCGTACTTTATTTTGCTGACATAGTAGTCAACATAGTAGTTACTCTCATTGAAGTTTAGTCAATTCTTTGTAAACGTCTTGCATCATTTGCATTATGCAACTGTTACGAGTAATTCCTTCAGGTTTTTGGATTGTATTTTTGTCAATTTCTTAAGTTTTGGTATCTTACTTAGGTCTTTTATCTATATAACCTTGGTATAAGATTTATCGTTCTTGGGGTCCTTTCATGATTTGGCCGATATCTCTTTATTATCATTTTTTGAAATTCCTTAACTCCTAAACAGCCTCGGTAACTAGCAGGGTGTGCATCATTGCAGTTTGCATACCTGGTCTGAAAATTATTTTTTTTTATTACAAGATTATCTTTTTTATTACATAATATATATTTTATTTATGTCTTCGGTACAATCGAAGGACAACACGAAAAGGAGCGACTTTTTTAAAGTATGCACACCATTTTCTTTTATTCTCTAATTTTATTTATGACATTTGAATCCGTATTTGAGTTCCCATTTAGATAAGTTCACACTTAATATCCTCTAGCTCACATGATGGATGTAGGTTTTTGACCATTACTGTATCAGGTCTCGTCAATTTATTTTCATAAGTATTCATTTTCATTTTCCACATTAATTTTTAGTTGGCCATTGTTCATAATGTTTACCTTTACGTCAATACTTTCCTCTTTGAAGATCCTTAATAAATGCCCGTAATCAGTTATTTTAATCACTATTACCGGAGTTTTTTTTTTAAGTTGGGCCGTTTTTCTTGGTGGAGATTTATCCACTTTAATGTTGTTCATTTCTAGTGGTGCTTCCATTTCTTTGAGTTTCCCTTGGTTTTAGGAATTCAATCGGTTTCTCTAACGAACTCTAACCACACCTGTTTTGCCTTTTTCGGTGCCAATTGAAACTGCATTTTTCAATCTTAGATTTACTTGCTTGTGTTTTCAGATCCTTACTCTTTTTTCAGGTCCTTTCGCAGATTTTCCATCCAAAGAGAGGGAGGGGGGCGGAAATCCTGCAGCTCTTGAGCTCTTGCTGAGCGGGTTCAGTTATATTATATGCCGATGTTATATAAATTTTTGTTCTCTTTTGAAGACCCCTATTGCGGTCTCCATTGTTACTACTCGAACTAATTCATCATCACTCTCAACGTTCTCTTCTATTCTACATACTGGCCATTTTAATAGCAAGTAGATTACAGAGCATTGGTAACTAATTTTAATCTTGACAACTGAGTCACTTTTTTTTGAAGATTTTGTGGACTTAGTACTGACAACGACGATTCTTCAACCAAAAAATTCCATGGATTTAAGGCTGCATAGTCGCTTGGACTTGATGACAAAGGCGTCAACGGTCTGGAGTTAAAAATCGCTTCATCCTCCGCAACGAATGTGCTTAATTCTTCGGATGTCAATAATAAGGACGTCAAAGTATGCTGTAGCAAATTTGCTGATTTGAGTGCTGTATCCCAGAGTACTTCGAAATAGGGAGACCTGTGTTGTATAAAATGAAATTGCACTCCTTTTGTACTACGAATTTTTATAATTTTCTTTTTCCTCTTAAATAGACAGGAAGCTTTGTAATTTTTTCTGCTTATTACTTAAATACAAAAGTCTTTTGCATTATTAATTACAAAGATAATTCGCAATATAATTTCTTGCAAAATTCTCTGCAAACAATAAAAAATTTTCAAGCGGTTACGTTGTTAGTGAGATCAGATGCTACTTCCATGTGAATTATCTTTGTTGTGAAACACACGAATGCTGTTATGGAATTTTTTGTAGGTCTTTTTCCTCTAAGGTAATAGTGAGTCTGAAGACTAGAATAGTTTAAGAGCTAAACCCTGCTCTTTGATAAACTGTCCAGCGATTGCTGCAATATTTCTTGTTTCCCTTTTGAGTATTGGGCACAGTTAAAAGCAGTTCTTTTTATTAGCTTCCCATAAATTATTATCCAAAAACGCTGTTGAGTGCTTGCCAAAAGAGCTAGTGGCCCAACACGTAAATATTTTAGTATTCCAGTTCCAGTATTAAAGTAGAAAAAAAGATTTGTTCCTGACAGCTTCAATGGGTGTTTTACACCAAAGCTAATTGCGGTATTCTCTAACCTTCCTTTAACTCATATTATTTCTTCTTCATCTAAGAGGGGTGATAAGCTCGCTAACTTGTTGCTCTTTTCAACTTTATTTTTGTTTATTTGGGTGATTTCTTCTTTTAAATATTTGCGTTGAATACCTTTGATGATTCCTAGCGTTACTAAGTTAAGTTCACTCACAGGTAGCCATTTTTTAAAAAATTTGTTTTTGAAACCTGTTTTTTGCTCTTAGCAAATCAGTTATTAATCTTTGAAAGAGTATGAAGAATGACGATGGTTTCTTAATATGCAGGACCCTCTTTCCATTTCCACTCAACAATGCAATCCTTTTTCTCCACATTGTAGCCTGGTGATAAATTTTTTATTTGACTATTGTTTCTCGGGATTACAGAATTCAGAATTCAGAATCATAATTCCAAGTTTGGGAATATTCCTTTTAATAATACGTCAGCTGGATTTTGATTTTACGTAATTCCATTGCTTTGCTGCTTTCTTCTCTTGAACCGAGGCTATCCTACTACCCATCCCAGATAATACCTTTTATCCTACTAGAGATAATACCTTTATGATTATATTGCTTGCTGTAAAAGCATGCAGCTCGGTAAGAATCTTTAAATGAGTCCCGAACACCTGTCTATTTATTTTAATATTGCTTACTTTCATCAAGTCTTCTTTGAAATTTATCTGTCTGATGTTAAACTGTCATCATCCCAACCAATCTTTAATTTGCACTATACTTTGTGGAAATTAATGATTGATAGGTACCACAGCTAGTTGACTGGTTAATATATTGGGTTAATACTCTTGTTTTTATGCCGAAAAGCAGAGTTACTCCAGACACAACTTTCCGATTTATTTACCTTTCGGTATTACTTTTTACCGTTGATTTTAAAGTGAATCGATGTGTCAGCTGCTATACTAAACCTAAAGTTTTAATGTTGAGGTTCTTCTTCCTTGGTTATTTTGTTTTTCTTTCCGTTCTTTGTATGGTGTGTCTGATAAGCCCAATAATGGTCTTCTTAGTTCGACCGCTTCCTTCAATGAATGGGTATCTGTTATGATGTCGCTTAAGTAAAAATTTTTGATTACTCTTACCGTTAAAATATATTTCGTCTATTCTTAAGCATTTAACTGGGTAAGACATCTCGAGACGGTTGCTAGTTTATAATATTTTATTTTATCTTTAGTATTAGAACCATAGAACTTTAGTTGAGGTAAATTTTTTCCAACTTTAATTTGCCGATACATTTGTCTGATATCTATCGTCATGACGTATCGGTACATCCGAAAGTTGGGTGTGATGTCAAATAAATCCTTTTAAATTCTAGGGCCATTAAGCATCCAATCGTTCTGTAATAAATTTCATGACATTCGCAAGCAGTATCGAAAATCACTCTTAATTTTGAGTCAAAAAGGAGTGAACTTTGCGAATGTTGAGGTTATTCATCTTTAGGAGCTTAATATATTCTCTCTTCAGAATTTGGTCTTTTTATTAACTTTGCTCCAAATTCATGAATTTTCATAGAGCTATGTTGCATGAATTTTCAAAAACTTCAGCTGACGCTATAATTGGAAGATTAACGATAAAACTTCCATCCTTTTCTGTCTGTAACGCATGACGATCTTTCTTTTTTAACTTCTTCTACTACTCGGAATCTCTCAAGTTTATCTTTTAATGATGCTTTTAAATCAATAAAGTTGTTCTACTTATGTGCATCCGGAGAAGTCAATTACTATTCAATCAAAAACTGATTTTTGTACTATTGAAACATTTGATTTCAATATTATTTGTCCGCTTCTCCTCACTTTACGGGACATGTCAGCTCCCAGTAATATTATATACTTTGTGGGATTTGTTGAAGTTATGATCAGCTAGTTTAACATTTGGAGGTAAATTCCATGTAGGGATGTATAGTAATTCATTTCTGTGATTGAAGGTCTGAAATCTTCCTTATTATTCTGGCCCCTGTCCGTGCAGAAAATGTTCCTTCTATTGACTTCAACTCAGTATAAATTCTATTCTTCACGTCTGCTTGGGATTCTCCTATCCGAGAAACTTACATTCTTTTTTCTGCATGTGTTAATTTTAATTTTTTATTCAGCCATTCAGTAATCAAATTTATTGAATCGCGTAACAATAGGTCACGGCTTTATAATATTTTCTTAGAACTATTGCCAAAATTGTGTAATAAACAAAATATATTGCAACATATTATTGTGACCTACATGGTAGAACTCGGATCAAACTGCAACTTTATTATTATTTTAACCTACATTTTAACCTACGTTTATTTATATTTTTGGGTTAGCACATTTAAAATGTAATTTGAACCAACAGTTATCTATTTTCCAACGGTTGTGCTTATCCTAAGTGTTCCAATTGCAATAAGAATATACAACAATAAGGCTGGGTTAAACCAATATTTTGTATTGTAGCACTTTTCCTTTCAACAAGTGAAAATACTGCTTTGAAAAACAATATATGTGTGTGGGATTTAGAAATTTTTGATTGTACAAAAATAAAAAAAAATTAATTTAATAGTAGAATGTTTAATATATATTTTTTATTTTACGATATTGTTTATGGTTATAATGCTATTATTAGCTATACTAATTATTCTTTACTTTAACTTCATAAAGGTTAAGAAGAAAAAGCAAAATCATTTCTTTTTTTGATAATTTCTTTATAAAAACCTCTACACATATTCTAATTGTTTCAAAATTATTTGAGAGCCAATTCAATATGATGTATAAAGACTCCAAATTTAATTTCTAATTGTTTGTATAGAAAACAAGAGATTTATCAAAATAATAAAATAAAAAAAATATGAAATACGATAAGTATAATGAAATCAAAAAAATGTATGGTGAATTAAAAACAGAGTGTGTCAGTTTTTAGCGCCCACAAGTATACCTACTACACTATTGAAATTATTTTCATTTATATATGAAACTATTTCTAGGATTGCATATATTTAGGACGAGCGATTTATACAGTCTTTGAAGTAAAACAAAAATTAATTTGAAAAGGTGTTAACATAATTGCTCTTTTCAATTTTAAGAATTAATTGCGTGAGTTAAGAAAAATAATTATATATTTTAATGTCATGGAATTTACCGTTAGCTTTTTGCGTTTATTGAAATTTGAACAAGCTTAGGGTTTCGAAAATATAAGGCGTCAAAAATTCAAATTTCAAGAGGCGATAACTTGAGAGTGGGTGGAGATGGAAAAAAATTTTCTTGTAACGAAATAAATTATTTGTTAATGCCCAAAAGCTGCTAAAATTTCAAGCTCCCTCAACCTGAGGTCTAGAAGAAAAACACTACTGCTTTTTTGCGTTTGTAAAATTTGAAAAATGCATATGATTCTACTACACTAAGTAGTTAAAAATTGAATTTTTAGGGTTTTAAGGGGGAATACCTTTTAGAGGCGGGGAGATATGTGAAAATTATGTTCTACGGGAATTAGTTTCTAGTAAAGATCTATGAACATATAAAATTTCAGGTTTCTATCTTCAAGGGTGTAGAAGTTTTGTAAACAAACACACGGATACACGGACGAACGGACGGACGGACGGATGGACGGACGGACAGAGTGAAACTAATAGGCATTTTTTTTTTAAATTTTTTGGAAAAGTGCTAAAAAGTAATGTAGAAATAAGAATCAATTCTAATGTATAATAGTATCCGCATAAGTCATTCAGAACTGTAAAGTGCTTGTATAAAGACACAGGTTCCTGAGTGGTTGATATAAACTAATATAAAATTGTAAATAGAGACTTTTAATTTATGATAATAAAACATCTTTATTTTTATTCTAATACACGACGACCGGATCAATCAAATGCAATAAATGGCTCTTCTCAGAATCCGTAGAGCCGAACTCCGAAGAGGGTGAATTCTCGAACGTTGTTGAATAACCACCTGGGATACTAAATCCATTTGTTGCGTCCATTGCACAATTGATTAAATTCTGCATTTTATACCTACTGCCAGGATTCAAAAATTGCCGTCTCTCAGGGATCAGACGCAGACCAGGGAGCCGCCTATTTTAGGTCAGACGCTTCTGGATTTACCGCCCGCGCGCTTCCTAACCAACGTAACCCGGATTAAGCGCTGATCATGTTTATATCCTTATTGGACGTTTAGGATAACACTTGTGGTTGTTGTTTAATGTAAAAGTAAGCGGGAGTGTGACCCTAAGCGTAATCAATGATGAAAATGGAAGTAAGCATTCTGAAGTATGATTGATAGTAGAGTGCCACGTTACGAGTAGAATTAGTCGTATTTATAACACAGCGCCACGTTACGAGCGTGAATTAGTTTTTCAACATTTAAAATGAAGTATGCAATATTTGTAGAGGAGTTGTTGTCTCGGTTAAAAGTAGGTAAAATTGTAAGAAAGAAATATTTTTTTATTTTAAATATTGATTGAAGTAATTAATATCTAGAATGAAGTATGCAATATTTAAAATGAAGTATGCAAAATTTGTAGAGGGGTTGTTGTCTCGGTTAATGTTGTAAGTTTTTCAAAAAAGACTTTAAAACTTTTTTAATTTAAAATCGTTTTAAAATTAAAAAAGTTCTTAAAGCTTGAAAGGTGGGTTTAGAATTATTTTAACATTGATAACAATTTAAACATTGATAACACAGCACCACGTTACGAGTAGAATTAGTTTTTAATATTGATAATACAGTTTAGAATTATTTTTTAAAAATATTGGTAACACTGAAAACTCCAAAATATTGGTAACACTGAAAAATATTGCCTCCTGAAAACAAAAGGTTAGGTTTAGACTATTTAATTTATGAAGAGCTTTTTTTTTTGTTAAAGTTTACGCGGTGTAATTGCTTCATCTGAAAACAAAAAGATTTATGACAAAACACAATGCAATATTTTTCAACAATCTTATGTGATTTATATTTCATATTTAATACATTTTTTATAAAATAATTTCTACAGTTAATTTTCTAAAGCACAATGCCTCCAAGCATATGTATTTGCTTTATCACTTAAAATATTTCTTTTTTCATCTGCATTACTTAAAGCTACCTTATTAAGATTTTGAGTATAAATAGTGTTTAGGTTGGATGTGAAAACCTTCATATTTCTATATATTATAAAATTATTTAGTAAAGCAGATTGGTAATCTTCTAACTTTAAATCATTAACTATATACCTCCTAACTCCTTTCGCTTTTTTAATATTTTAATTTTGTAGAGTTTCATTTTCGACTTTAAACCTATAAATTCAGCTATAATTTTTCTACTCATTTCATCTTTAAGTAGACCTAATACTTTTTTATTTACTTGTGGAAAATGTCAAAATAATCTGTTAAATATGGGTTATCTCTAGTGATTGTGTAAATAAAACTGTGTCTATATAATTAAGCACTAAATTACTTTGAAACCTTGGTTTCATAACATTATAGTGAAAGTTATAAATTAAAATTTTCGATTGATCTAAAATTGCAAAAACTATATAGATTGGTTTATTGTAATTTGCTTTTGTTTTATTTAATTCTACTGCTGCTGGATTAGATTTAAAAATTGAAACTCTATAAAAATTAGGTCTTGCTATTAGAGCTCTGAGTCCTAAGTGTCTTCTTTTGCTTTCCCATGAATCAGCAATATACACTACTCTTCTGTTATCAACATTTTCCATGGTTTTACTAAACACGGAATTATTCAATAATTTGAAAAAGTTTTTTTCAAAATAATTTTGAATATTTGTTCTATATGTAGTATTTAAATCAATGCATTTCTTCAACTAATTACCCTGTTGGAATTTTAAAACTCTGTACATTTTCCAAAATTAATCCATTTTTAAGACACTGCTTAAGATTTCTATAGTGTATTACATAATTTTTTTTATTGTTTAAATTAGTTAATAATTTTTTTGTTTTTCCATTTGGAGGTGTACTAATTTCAGGACAAAAGGGTAAGTCATTATGAAGATCATGAAGATCCTTGGCATAATCTAAATCTACTTCTAAGATATAACCGATATCTGAGTTATCAGATATTAATGAAACATCAATTGGGTTATCAATCTTCTTCAAATCTTTATATGGGATATTTTGAGACATAGCTCAACCGTACAAATTTTTTGCATCTTGATAAATGATGTATTTGGAAATATCGTTGGAATTGATTTTTCATTTACATATTTGTTATTGCCTACAGAATGACGCAAAGAACATTGGCTAACACCTCCCCGTATTCCTGACCTTACAAAATTATACATGTTGATACCTATAAATAGCTCTTACTCTATCTCGGTGTATTTAATCATCGCTTGCCATGAAAGATCTGGAGCAGTGTAAAAATTAGCCGGATTTAAATTGTAGATTTTTCTACATATTTTTCTAAAATTTTTAACATTCGCTAATAATAAAACATCTGTTTTTAAGTACAACTCAAGATAATCAGACAAATTTCGAAAAGTGAAGGTAATCCACACGGTAATCGCATTTTGGTAATATTCATTGGAACAAGAGCTGTTCGTCATTGTTTTAAAAAATTCTTTTTGTGGTGGTAAATCTTCTTGTATTTTTTCCCGACTATTAAATATTCATAGGGAAAAGCACCTTTTCTGATCATTAGATCGGATTTATCACCAAAACAATTTAAAATATTTTTCATATTACTTTTATCTATATCCTTGGCAAGGCTATCTAAGCTAGCTACCATGAAACGAAAGTTATCCAAAAATCTAATATTGAAAGCACAGTTTTCTTTGGGAAGTGTAATCTTCTTAGTTTGAGATATGTATATACTTCTCCTGATTTAAATAGAGTATAACAATCATACCCAGAAAAATTATGGAAAAACATGGGGAAATATGAAGGTTTCCTAAATAAAATATTACAATCAGAGTGAGCTGGTCCTCGATATTTACTACTAAAATGGACTCTTACTCTATCGCTAAAATTCAAATCCTTACCAAAAATGTGACAGATGGCTTCCGTTAACTGTGATAGTTCCTCATCTAGTGTCATTTTCTTCATTAGTTTTATACGCTGGAAATATTTCAAACATATATATGAACAGTCTTCTATTAATCAGTAAGAAGTTAAAAATTAAAAATATGTTATCTGAAATATAATAATTATTTACTAACCTTTTAATAAAATCATCTGCATAAGTTAGGCCAACACATTCTACAAATTTATTTAAAGATGTGTCAAACGAGCACATTATAAAGTAGGAGAACGCAGCTGGAATATGTTCCTGTATATTTGTTGTATGATGTTTGTCCATTTGGTTGACATGTTGAAATGGGTTTTAATAAGCTTTCACTATCCGCATATATCACAAAAGGCGTTTCCATTTGTTGCTGAAAGTTTTTAAATTTTAAAATATTATCATCTTTCGTTGGCAAAATAGTAACAACCATATTACATTCATTTTTATGGATTATAACGTTTGCAGATTTTTAAAAATGTTATAAACAGCTGTTACATATGTATATGTTTTCGAGCTTTATATTTACATAAATTACTGAAAAATAATACGAAATGGCATTTTTCTCCATTTTCAATGAAGAGTAAATTAATATGATGTTTCTTTTCATTTTTGGTTAAATAATAAGGTCCTACTATTTCATTATTTTCCAATCCAAAAACGTTAAAGCTAATTGTTTATTTTGCTCTTCAAATGTGTTAAATTGTGTAAATTTGATTTTAAATTCTATCTCATCAAAATTTATCACCGGAACCAAACCATGATTTAGTTTTATTTTTGATTCGTTAATATTATTTATTTTATATGTTCCAGGTATTGATGTATGCTGTTTAGCTGGTTGTAATGCTGATATTATTGCCCATTTAAAACTGTAATTATATCAAAATTTTTCATATTGATACAGGCTTTTTTATTTTCTATTTTTGCTGGAAGTCTGATATATCCTGATGTTTTTAATGGTTCATACTCATTAATACTTAGTTGCATACCAATAATTTTTAATAATGCCCATCGACTGTCTTTCTCCTGGAAATAGTAGAAGCAAAGAAAAAATCAAAAAAGCACATAAAAGAGAGCAATTGAAGAAAAATTATGATTAATTAAAGTAGATGTTGAAGGAAGATCTTAAAATTTAAAGTTAAAACATGCGTACATTAAAGTTAAAAGCGTAAACATCATTATCATTAGCCGCACATGAAAAATTTTTCATAAGCAACATGAAATTATTTTATATATTGAGTTTTCTAACAATTACAATTTATTCTGCACATACCCCCAATAAAAGATTAGATGAGTCAGCTTACGGAAGTGCTGATTTCGATATAGTTCTACCTAATACTCGTAATGAAACTATAAAAGTAAATCTATCAGTGCCATTTCTTAAGCATGTGCCTGATACTGGAGCTATAACAGAAACAATAGCAACAACAACAACAGAAAAAACAACAACTAATACATCTTTTGAGCCGGATAATTATTTAAAAGCTGATTCAGTTCCGCAATATGTAACAGTAGCAGAAGCAATCGAAGCTTTTAAGAAAGATTTAATTGCAACAGATCTTGCTATCGGTGGATTAATACAAAGTACGCACGTATTCTGCAGACATTTTAGATTAGATTACGGAGAGGATGATGATATTAAAATACAATGTTCATATGATTGCAATTTTCAACAAAAAACATTAAAAATTAATTGTGAAGAGTATGCCATAACTTATGGTAAAGGACTTACAAGTAGCGGTGAATTGGAAACATATACCGCTTTTAATAAGGACTATCAATCTTCAGCAGATACTATATTAGATTTACGTAAAGTAAAGCAAGATTACATATGGAAATATCTTAAATAAAAAAATTATCATTGCGTTATCTGAAAATATGATTCAAATAAAAGAAGTCAAAATTAAATTACATCTGTTTTATTTATCCAAGAATTATGATTTGATGGAAAACCAAGCCATTTCACAAATACTTGGTCACCTTTATCTTTTACAATATTTATAATTTAAATAAATATAATTTGCTTTGATTTCAGTAACTCATGTTCATAGGAACCATCTTCAATGGGTTGTTCTTCATAATCTTCTAATAAGTATGTAATGGGGTTTGCTTTCTCGAAAACATGTTTGTATTTGCTTAAGCGAACTGAGTCACCAACTTTAAATTTTGTTGGTGGTGAAATTTTAATATGATTATATGCACTTGACAACAGCTCTTTAACATTATTTTTGTTTACATCAGCAGGTTTTCTTTGAATGGTTCGATGTTTTGTATTATTGTATTGGCTGGCTAATTTCCTTATTATGTCTATCCATTTGTAATTTCCATTGAAGCTGAACTCTTTCCACCTTTTTTCTTTTAAAGTTCGATTAAAGCGTTCCACGATTGAGGCTTTCAATCAGCTAAATGGTGAGTAATGATTTATTTGATACTTCATCATTAAATTTTTAAAAATCTTGTTGAAGAACTCCTGTCCATCATCTATTTGAAAATTTTTTGGTTGACGTTTGGAATGTTTAAAAATTGATTGCATTGCATGACGCTATTTGAAGTTTTATTCTTTATTGGGATAGCCCATACATATTTTGAGAAGGTATCAATCAAATTTAATAGAAATTTGTAACCATCATTTTCTCTAGCATAAGTTCCCATTTCAATTAAATCAGCTAACCACAGATCATCAATACCTTCAATGACTACTTTTCGTCTTGGAAAATTTCTTCTCGCAGGCTTAAGCAAATCCTCAACAACCTCTCTTTTACTCATTTTTTCAATAAACAAGATATTGAAAGATAATTTCTTTTTAATTTACTTTTGTTTATTTCTGAAGAATGTAATAATTCTATGGGAAGGGGGTTAGTTATTTATCATAAAAATTATAACAAAACAAATTGCATTTATATATTTTTTTGATTTCTTTTTTATTATTTATTTTTTTAATTTCTTATTTCTTATTTAATGCATTTATATATTTTTATTAACATAATTTATAGTACATAATTTGTTATATCATAATCATTTGAATTAAATGTTATCTCTTTAGAACTTAAGAATTGTAGATCTGCGTTCCATCATTATTTAAACCATTACATACTAAAGCACAGTCTCCTGTACTAAGATATATTAGCATATCATCAGTCATGTTAATGAATTTTCCTGGAAGACAATAAATAGCTCCAAAATATTTTTGCTACAACCTATTATCATATATTGGCAGAGTCTGTGGAATCCCAGTGATCACGAAAAATACTTACAATCGTTTATCTCTTCTAGTTTAGCCAGAAAACACGTTTAAAGTTTCCCAAAAGATTTTTTTAAATATCTCCAAAAATATTGTAATTATGTTTATTAATAATTAGTAACAACACAACCCAACCAAGTTGCACTTAATTCACCTTCCCAATAATTATTTCGTAACTACTTTTTCATTTAAAGTTATTATTTTTTATTTTTTTTTTTATTAAAATTGCAATGTAACATCTGTTTTTTTTTTGTTTTTAAAAGCTTCATGTTTCAAGCGAAAAGACGAATGAACTTTGTTTTTTGCTTGAAACATTAGAACGCATTAAGTTAGTAAGTAAATTTGAAAGCAACAAAATTAAATTAAAATTTCGTAATTATAAGTAGGTCAATGGCAAACGTGATACTTGTTGTTGTAAAACGTTTGTCTTTGTAACGTTTGTCGTTTTAGAAATAAGT